AAAAAAAAAATCTGTTTATTTTCAGTTAAATAAACCAAAAACAAAAACCACAATGACAATTCTGTCTTCTTTTCGAAAAATTAAAGCTATTACAGCAAAAAGTACGACTGGATAAATGAGGCAAAAGAAAGACACCAATATGTACCAGGAATGTTGCTAACATTTGCAGAATTACTTTACTGACTTCCTAATAAAGGTTGATGATTTAGGGTTTTCGCAACAGTAAAAGCATATGTATGTTACGAACAGTAATAAGAAAACCAACTGCTTAAGTTAGGCAGAACAAATACTATAAGTTTAGATTTGAAGCAGACACTGCAAAGTACATGATGGAAAGAGAAAAGTGAATTAATTCAGAATCGAAATGCATGTAAGGAGGTGACGAGTTTATACATAAGGGAAAGAGGAAAAGGAAAATGAAGATGCATAATTTTTCAAGGATATCAGAAAGGCTTCATTAGCCACTTTATTTCCGAAAGTGTTACTATCAACTCAGGAAGACAAACCATGCTATTTCTTCTAGCATGGAATTGAGTCAGGATTGAATTTGGCTTGGCTATAAAAAGAAATAATTTCTTGTATTCCAATATAAACCTAATTTGTTGCCACCAAACAGCCTTGGGGATGAGTTATCATCAATAGTCTCAAAGATTTGCAGTAATAAATTGTCCACCAGAATGGACAGTTACCAGAATAACATTTTATTTGGGAGAGCAAAGATAAACACAAAATCAAAATTTGTTAAGATGAAGTAAAATAGCATGAGCTCTTTTGAAACTTTTAATGACTTCTTATAGTGTGCTTACAAATAATATTGCTTGTTCGATTCCAAAAAGCAAAGGGGATAGTGCACAGTAGATAAAATATTGCAGTTAAATAAATAGATTCTATAGCAGCTAGATAGTATAGATTTTGCAATTGTTGAATCCTCAACTTAATGAATTTTAGATAGCAAGGGGCTGAGCCAGGGGGGTAATTTTTTTAAATTTATTTATTTTTTTGGGCACTGGCTGAGACATAGAAAAAGAAAATTCCATAAAAAAATATTTTATATATATATACACATACACCTACGAAGAACTTAAATGGGCTTCCAAACCCCCTCCCCCAACCCCACCCGACCTTCGGCCCCTGATTTTCGTGATCTCCTTCCTAAGTTCCTATAGTGTTAGCTGACACTAGCAGCATCTTCTGTAAGCAAATATTTACTGGTTTTATAGTTATTAAGATGTTAATTTTTATATGATCATTATGCAGAAGATAAAATAAATAATTAGATTGTATTTGAACTTCTCAACTAAAAATCACAACACTCAGATTGCAGGAGGGCCTAAGCCAATCCTCCAATTGTTTATTCGCTGTTTGGAAAATTCAATCCTGAATAGTTACATAATAGTTTTCTTATGAATGAGAATTACTGATAGAGCTGTGTAAAATGGCATACCCTATCAGTAAAAACAGGGTAAATTTAAAATTTTTATTTTTCTATTTTATTTATTTTTGCTATGTAAAAGCACCATTAAGTTAAACTAAACTAATTTATTTGCAGATAGATTCCATAAGTAGGCATGTTAAAATATAGAATTCATGTAAGGTGTCAAACCACTTTCCTATGCAGATCAAACACTTTTCCACGTATCGGAATCATCAAATGGCATGTCCATTTAAAGTCTCAGAAGCATGATAATAAAGAGTAATGAGCAGTGTACCAATTCAAAAATATAACTCTAAAATAACTTC